TTACAGAAAACGGCATAATGGACAAAAAGGGCTGTAGCGTTGTCCTCATGAGGATTTTGAACTGGCTTCTGTACCACAATGTTGGAGATGAGAGGTCGTCATGAAGTTGTATTATCAATGGCTAATGAGTTCAGTATGACGGAATGAGTGCAAAAAAGGGAGGGATGAAAGAATTCCTCGCACAACGCCTTCAGAAGGATCATTCAACTAAGCGAATGATGCACTAAGGATTCAATTATTATATCAAAATTAATTATTTAAAAAAAAACGCTCAGTTGTACGGAAATTTTACAACAATTTTAAAAAATAATAAGATAAAGCTGAAACAACATAAACGCAATTGACCAATTTCAAAAAGAATTAAATTTATGGTTATGAGAAAAATTTTCATGTTTCAATATCCATACGTATATTCCTAACCAACCGAAACTCTAATGTGTCGTTCAACGCGGTTCACTTAACTAAGCGATGAGGTTGATTTTGTACAAGACTGGATATACGGAGAGGCTAGAGTGTTTAGGAGTTTTCTAGCAACCGATCCATGATTTTTTTCAACTTAAAGAGGCTAACAATGAGGCGTACCGCTGTGATTCAAACACATCGTAACATCATGACGAATGGTTGGCGCATCTGGGCGATCAAGCCAATGTTTAACTTGTTCGTCTTTACTTATATTTACTATATTTTTAAAATTTTACAAAATTTATTAAATTTGACAAATATATCTAAAGTATTTAAATTTCAAGTTAACGATTAACGGTTTAGTCTTCAGGTTCGCAATGAAGCAGCGGTGAAGGTGTCACAGTGCGCCCGAATCAAGCTCACAGCAGTCCACAGGCAAACCAAATCTGCCTTCATTCCAGGAACAATAAATTAGATAAGATAAGATGAGTGTTGTCATTGATTAAACCCTCGCGGCAAGAGGAATGCGTCAACGCATTCGTGTTTAAAGTGATATCGCGAGGTGGTTGAGTGCGAGCCTGGTCCATACAGTGACTTGAGTTGACCACTCACCACGAAGTCAGTGCCTGAATCTTACCCAGATTCCTTCAGTATCAGTTTATCCGATCGGGAAGGTATGGGATATTCGATCCGATTTTGGGCTTAGTAGGCCTGGAGAGGGACGTTCGCGAACTGATTCAGGCATGTGCGCCACTGCGCTACTTCCACCACTGAGCCATTGCGTCTCGTGATATAATATTAATAATAATAAAATAAAGATCAGTTAAGCATCTAAAAGATAATGATTAAGCTTAAGATCATAAGTTAAGCTTAGAAAAAGCTGATAAAAATTACGTATAACGCAAGACATTTGGACGACATTTATTATTCATTTTTATTTTTATAATTGTTTTTTCTACAATTTAAATTATACGTAAACAAAATGATACGGTCGAAATTGATTCAATCAAATCTATAAAATTTACTAAAAGTGAATAATCAACGCTCTATGTTTGATATAGTGATATCCACTAAACGATAATCGGGACGCCGGTGGTTCAGTGGTAAAATGATCGCCTGCTAAACGAGCGGCCCAAGTTCGTTTCCCAGCCGTAGGGGGCTTTTGTAAAAATACTTCACGATTATGTATGATAATTTATTATTGCTTTGAGTTTTAAATATTAGTTCTAGATTTCAAATCGAACCCTCCGTCTGACCTCGCTAATTAACTGGTTACCTCTTACAGCTTTATCTCGCTATTTTACATAAATCACTTCAGTTTACATATAAAGATTTTAGATTTTTCTAGTAGTGTAATTTTTATGATGAGTTAAAAAACGATAAGCATAGGCGTTGATCAACTCGTATGATATGCGCCACACTCTCATATTCAACATAGTGAGGGCGATGTGATGTTTTATTATTTATTAAGTTTTTAATTTTTAATAAGGAATAATTGGAAATTATTTTTTCAGTAATAAATTGTAGTTGTTTAAGTATTTAAAATGTTTCTATTATAAAAAAAAAGATATAAAGTGATTTTCATGAGTTTTCTTCCTCGTTGACGTGGCAACCTCAAGTGAAAATTGACTTATTTTTTTCGTTTTCTTATTTTTTTTTTCTTAATAGTCTTTTTCTTTTCTTTTCTTGCAATTGACGATAATAAAAGTCTGAGTGTTCGAGTCGTTTGTACTTTTTATTTTTTCAATTAATAGTAATCAACCTCACCGTGTCTCACCTCACACCTACCTCAACGTGTCCGCAAACCTCGCCATAAATTTTATAACAATGAGATTTTTATTGACAAAGAAGGTTAATCGATTTTTATTTTGCTTTTTAACATTCACTGTATTTTTCCGTTTTAAACATTTTCACTTAGAAAATTATTGTTTAATTCGAATTGAAGTTGTCTATACAAAATTTTCCTCACAGACTTAGAAAAAAAAACAAACCTCATTTCCTCCGACTACTAAAAGATATTTATGTCTTGCAGCTTTCATTATAATATTTTATATGAAAATATTCTATATTTTATATGTTACAGTATGCCAACTATTTTGAAACAAATACCATGTATTTTTTCAAACTAATCAATACGTATCTTTTCTGTTACAAAATACGTTACAATGGAAATATGTATTTAAGTGAAATCAACTGAAAGGATTTTTTCTTTTATTGTAAAGTATTAAAATTATTTTTGTAGTACTTTTAATTAGAATTTCTTGTACACTATTTATAAAATTAGACAAAAATTCTAGAAAAAGGTAAAAAAATACATAAAAAGCTATCAATTTTTTTTTCGGAGAAAAAGCTTCAGCTTAAAATAGAATACAACTAATTATGGAAAATTTTCTTCTGAGTTAAAATTATATAGAGTCTCAATGAGTACAACTACCTCATGAGTTCCGTTTTTCACTAATATTAGTAATTTCGTTAATAATTATAATAATAATATTTAAAATTAGATTTTATAAAAAAAAATTTGACTACTTCAATTACAAATTTTAATTACTGTTAAATTTTTTTTATTTTTAATAAAAAAAAAGAATTTTTAGGTCATTTTTTTATTGTTCTGGTGGTGAAGCTTTTTTTTCATATTTATAGAAGAAAAAATAATTTATATCGTTTAAACTAAGAAAAAAATAATTTTATTATAAGAAATTTAAAAAAAATTATTATTCAATTAATTTAAACGTGCTGTAATAAATACTAGAAAATTTTTCGTCTTTTCTTTCTCGTCTATTTATAAGAAAAAAGGGCAAATGTACTTTAAAAATTAATAATCTCGTAAAAATTATTTTATATTGATTTAAAAAAAACTACATCATAATAAAAATATTTATTGTTAAATTGATTTGATCTACATAAAAAGTCGATGAGTTACAAAATTAATAATGATAAGGTTCAAATAATATCTCTATAGAGAGCTCTACTCATAAGGGAAAAATTTCATTTTAGCTAATAAAAATAGATTAAAGTTTTTTCCTGAAATCCTCAAATTCTCCTCAAATTAACCGGTGAGTGTCATTCTGGGTGCTTGTAACTGAGGTATATATCTATGATTTGAGGATTGAGGTTCAGCATTTCTCATTTCTCTGCGTACGATTTGATTTTCGTTTGAATGAGTTAGATTTCCATATGAACCGCATAGAACTTTAAAAAACGAAATCCTCTCAACACATTAGCCTCTGCTCAATAAACCTCATTGAGTATGCGAACCTCATTGAAATAAAAAAGAAAATATAAGATTATTCAATAATATAATTATATTCTTTTATCGTTTCACATATAGATATTATTAGATCCGGAAGTTACATTTTTGAGGTATCAGGTAGAACGTTGAGTGCTATGCAATACTTTGTGTGAGGGATATTTTTTAATGAGTGTTAATGATTTCAGTTACAAAATGTCATCTATTAAAGCATTAAATTTAAAATTAATGCTAAATTTTGCCCTATTTATTTATGTTTTTGTTTTCGTTTTTTTTTTTGTTTTATTCATTGGACTCCATGAGGAATGTTCTGGGAACAAATAAAAACAAGAGGAGATTTTACCTCAATTCTATTAAAATTTACTTATATAGCATAAAATAACACTAAATTTAGTCAAACGTTTAAGCTTCCATCATTTTATTTTTATTCTATAATGATTTTATAAGATCTGCAATGATGATGAGTTGACAGTAAAACTCGATACCTCAGCCGGGATACGAACCCGTGTTTACAAATATCCCGTCTGCTGTGCTTATCCATTATACTACGAAAACCGTCGCTCTACGACAAATTGATTTGATCTAGAAAAATCAATAGGTTAGAATAATGATAATGATAAAATTGAAGTAATATCTTTGCAAAAAATTTTATTGGTAATAGAAAAAGTTAAGATTAAACTTTTATTAACGTTCTTTATAATGTTAAGAAAAGTCGTTGTTCTTTCGATGAGGTCAATTTATGCTAAAATGTGCCTCGCATTAACTCGCATTCATAACATCGTGGAGGTTAATGGGATTCGAATGAGAGTGATCTATAATCTGATTTGAGTGATTAATCCTCATTATCAAATTAGTGATAGTGCTTATCCTCACAAATTCTTCTGCTATCTCAATTCGTGAACCATAAATGTGAATGAAAAGATTGATTTGTGCGGTGAGGTTTTTAAGCCTCAGTATTATTCTGTTGCCCTCGTCCTCAAAAACCTCCTATTATAACACTATTGTACAAATATAACAATAAAATGTTCCTATGAGAAAGAAGAATAAAAAGAAAAAAAAGTGTTACAACTTTATAAAGTACAAATATTGGTTAGAGCTTTAAAAAAAATATTTTATATCAGATATTTACCTTATAAATAGTTAATAATATTTTTTTTTATATTAAAATGAGTGATGAGGTTTTGAGTGATGATAAATTTCCGTAATTCACCTCGATTTTTGAGCATCGTATCAGCTTAAAATTCATCGAAACCTTATATAATTATAATAAAGCTTAATGTTAACAAGCGAACTCAAATTAACTAACTCACTGCAATTTTTATTAATGCCATACTGACGTCATTTTTTTCCCTCTTTTATTTTTTTTTTGTTATTTTTATTTAAAATTCAATTGGTTTTGTTGTAAAGCTTAAAGAAAAATGTATGAATTTTTTTTACATATTATAAAATATTCTAACCAATTCAACTATTTGTAATTTTTTTTTAAATTTTTAATTTTATTTAGTTAAAAATTATTTCTAAAAATACATAACACGTATTTATTGAAAAATTTCATGTTTTTTTTTCTTTAAACTAATTTTTTTTT